GAGGACCCGGCGGCCTCCCGGCGGCCTCATTGTCCTGCGACTCCGATGTGGGTCCGGGATGGTTTCCTCGCGTTATTGCCCGAGGAGAGCCCGGTCCCTGCGGCGGACCCCGCCCCGGCCGGGAAGATGTGGGGTTTGTGCCCCGAGTCCTCGAAGCTCGGCTTTTCTTGGCGGGCGGCCGGGTTTTCTTTCTTAAATCGGAGAATGCAAGGTCCTGGAAGACGGGGCGCCTGCGCCCGGGCCGAGCACTGCCGAGGCGATCGATGCAAAATGACTGTTTAACGGGGACGACGGGCCGTAGGAAGGGCCGGCGGCGACCTATTGTGTAGCTGGGGAATGAATGCAGCTGCAGAATTGTTTTTTTGTGTGTTTTTTTCCAGTGGGTTGGGTAACGCATGCTACGTTCCTAAGCGAATAGATTAACATCTTGCCTGTTTTTTCTTCTTTTTTTTAAAGCAATCAAAGCAAACCAAAAAAAAAAAAAAAAAATAGACCTGGTACATGTCGATGTCTGAGTTTGCTTATTCCTATTTTTATTCTTTTGATGAAAAGTCACTCCCCTCTGAGCGAAAGGTGGTGCGGCAGATTGCAAGGGTCTCTCTTTTTCAAATGACTTGATCCTTGCAAGCATGCGATGCTTGATGCTTCCTTGCTCCGACCTTGGGCTCCTGGGGTTAAAACCAGCCCACGGGAAGGAAGGAGGATGCGGAGGAGCAGGTGGGGGGGACGGGGGGGGTGATGTGAGAGGGGTTGTGTTATGGGTACAGTATCTAGATCGTCACTGATGAAATCCTTCCTGGGACTGCTTCCAGGATTGAGGAATTCAGCTCAGGAAATAGGACGTTGCAAGTTACAAACCATCTTGCATTTTTTCCCCGCCCCTCTGGGTGGTGTTTCTAAGTGACCCTAGGGCTGCTTTTGGAGTGCTCCCTGGCTTTGTAGAGCTGTTGCGTCAGTTTGCTGTTTTAAAACCGAAGAATCTCGGTGCACTTGACTGACAGAGGGAGACGCTAACATTTGAAAAGTTGACGGACTTGTCTGTGAAACGCAAACTTCCAGGGAAAGTGGCAGCCCCTGCGGACGTGTAAGGAGAGCTGCTCTCCAGGCTGGGAGTGGTCTGTGCCTGTCAAGTTCATGGTCACCCCAGTTGTGCTCATCTGATCCTTTGTAATGTGAAAACGCTTCTACTGAAACAGAACTTTGGTTTTAGAAATTAACTTACTGAGGTAGGGAAAGATACCATAACATGGGTTTTTCATAAAAACAGAACCTTGGAGATTTTTTTCCCCTGCTAGTTACTAAGTAACCACATTTTAATATTTCCTGATATTCAGTAGTACTTTGTAGTACGATCAGCTCTGTAAACTCGGTTAAAAATAAAATTGCCACATAACAAGGACCTGTGAAGTTCATTTTTCATCCATCGATGAGTTATATTATTTTAAGCAAAAATTTACCTTTGAGAAAAAAATCTGTGTTGAACTTTTTACCAAAATTAAATGTATGCTTTCTATTGAGTTGGTTTTAGGATCAGGTGCTTTTTTGTTGTCCTTTTCATTTTTATCCTTAAATTCTACTTTGCACTTAATAGACTTTGAAAAATAATTCAACCTTTCTCTTACATTTCAACTTAAAAATAAACTAACTAAAATAGGTGTGTGGAATTATATTAAATCGCACTTGAAATGTATTTCACTGGTAAATTTCATGGTATTCTAAAATTACCCTGTATGGAAATAAGTAACCATCTGCATGTTTATCTGAGCATTAGAATAGTGAAAATGAGTGTACATTATGCCTATTCATGCAAATATCAGGGTGCCTTAAAAATTCTGTGCTTAGTGATTTGGTTTATTTGTTCCAAGTATCAGTTTCTCCTTTCCTCTTGACACTGAAAAACAACAACTTGTTTTATTGTTGCATCTGATAGTAATCAGATATGACTCATCTAGTCCTGAATGGTGTATATGTTTAAAGTTGTCAACATGTTTTTTGTTCAACAAAATCTATTCCTGAGAAATAATTTTTGCTCTTTCAGTTAATGAGTAATGTTTTTGTCTTCTCTATAGCAAACACTAGAGGTGTTAAACTATCCTAATGAATACCTTACACACAGCATGATACTAAATTGTCAACTAAAATACCCGTTCAGTTCAAATTATACTGTAAGTGTAACAAAAGAGTAATTGCATACCATCTGAAAAGTCCTCCCTAGAGAAATAATGTTGACTGATCATTCCATGTTGATGTGCTTCAGTAAGAAATGGGTTTCCTCTTATGGGGATAAATCTGAGACCATCTTTATTTCATAACCTTTTGTTAATGACCAAGATTTCTAATAATCAACTACACTTGGTGGAATGGGTTTTAATTTACTAACTCATATATTCTTGAGGGAAGTGCAAAGCAATGAGTTGGCCAATGTGAGCAATACAAGAGAATAAGAAAACATCTGTCTGGGGGTAAGGTTGATAAAACTGGACATATAGTCCAGTTAGTTGAAATGATTGTCCAATAGCATATTGTAAAAAATTTTTGGCCAAAATGAACTGATACAGCCAATATGTACTGAAGGGTAAAGCCCACTTTTATGTCAAACAAAAATAGAAAGGAAACTACCAAAGTAAGATTAAAGAAAGCCTTACAAAAAGTACTAACATGCAAATACTAGTAGGGATTGTACAAATATATAAGTGGAAAAGAATCCCAGGCATGCATTAGGTTTGAAAAATGAGACATAGCAGAAAAGTCATTTAAGCATAACAATTATTAATAAGTAAGATAGAAAATATTACTCTTTGGAACACGATATTTATTACATAAATGAATAATCTATTGTGTATTAAGCACCTACTAAGTGCCAGGCAGAGTGAGAGAGTGTGTGTGTGTGTGTGTGTGTGTGTGTGTGTGTGTGTGTGTGTAATTCATGCAATAGTACTATAAATAAGGTATTATTTTCCAGTTGAGACTATTTGAGAACCAGAGTTACTGAATAATTTTGTTTTGTGTCACACATTACTAAGTGGTACAACCCATAACTGAACCTATGTCTTTTTTAGTAGGTTCAAAAGGCAGCATTGCTTCCTTTCTGATTCATAAAATTTTAGACTTAGAGGAGATTTTAGAAGTAATGCCATGCCTATTACTATTATCCCTGAGATGTTATTGAATCCGGCTTCTCCACAAACAACACTCCCATGAGAAAGTGGGCATAGGATGGCTCACTTCACTTTTGCAAAGTATGGAAAGATCTTACTTAAGTTGAGTTAGTATCTGCTCTGTCTATAGTCTGTAACTTCTTCCCACCGGTTGCAGTTCTGTCTTCATGAGTGAGATGCAGTAAGCTTTTCCTCACTATACTGGGTCCTGCTAGGTCTCCTCTTTCCTAAGTTAAATATTACAACCCCTACAAGTTCATGTGATATGGTTTCCTTTACCGTTCTCATCTGTCAACTACAGTCAGTCTTGTCAGTGCTATTCTTTCTCTGATCTGGTTCCCTATTTAATTCTGCAGTTATGGTCTGAATATAGTGCAGTGAAATTATGTCTTTCCTTAATTTAAGCAGTGCACTTGTGTTTGCGGTCTCCAATTGTGTTAACTCTTGAATTACAGGAAAGTGAGAGAAAAAATATTACGTGGCTTTTCAAGTCATAGTTGTGCGAGTCAAGGAGTATATATATATTTTGGGGGGGGGGGATTCTGATTTCCTCTTTTCTGATGTGAAAATGACCCTTCTTTATGAAATGATAGTCTTGGGTGGTAAGTTTCTTTGGACATTTGTCTTGGATTCCTTGGTTTGGTCTTAGTGTTCTTAAATAAACAATAAAAAGTTGGCAGTTTGATATTGTTTCTCTTTGTTTTTTTGAAAAATTGGTCTGGAAACCACTGATGTCAACATAAACCAGCATCTTTTTTATGTTAAGATTTCTCCCAGTCTGTATATACACGTACACAGTGTTTTGGAAGCAGTGCTATTTACCTTTAACTGTTTTAAAATCATCTCTTTGAATGTAGCCAGCGTCAAAACTTGTTGAGATCTTCTTGAATCATGATTCTGTCATCCAAGGGATTAGCTTCCCTTCCTGGCTTTTTGACATTTACAGAATTAACAAGCCAGCCCTCTTATGTCTTTATCCTGGCCGTGTACTGGATATAGCCAAGGACAGCCTGCAGATTTATAAATAGAGTAAGTGTTGCATAAATGAAATATGCTGGAGGTAAGCGCTGACACAAGATACCAAAAACCGTTGAGATGTTTTTATGTGTTTGTTTTTAATTAAGGAGGAAATCATGCTATCTTCTTCATGTAGTTATCCTTTCAGTAAATTTTTTTTCAATTCAATTTTATCAATTTAAT